ACAGACAGACAAATCTTTTCAACCCCACAGGAGTAACGGGCTTCGCTATCGCTCAGCCAACTATGTTTTTGTAGCAAAAGCTGTTTTCACGTTACCGGTGACGTTTTTTTTCTTGTGTTAGTTTTATTTTAATGCATTCTTGTTCTTATTTTAATTTCAGTTCAGGCCCAGGCTACCGATTATGATTTACGAGATGTCCGATTCATTCATCTTCACATAAGCGTCTCCCTCCACCCCCTGGTGAGTTTTGTATTTTACTTATAGCCTTTCCACAAGGTAGGTGTACGCCAGACCGTGTCCTTGTCGTAACAGGCTTCGCGATGCTGCGCCAGTTTCGACAACCCACGCCTGGCGTATGCACCTACCTTGGCCTGCGGCGCAAACCTGCCTTCGGCAGGCAATGGCTTGTGTCCATCGTCCGCTTCTTCTAACTTGTTGCATGCTGGGGGGCTGCGTCCCCTGGACCCCCCTTTATTCTAGATAGAGTTGCTTCATCTTCAGATAACACCATCCTGACACTTGTGACTTTTTAACTTGTCGAGACTGGGGGCCCCACCCCCCAGACCCCCTTTCTTCAAGACAGAAGTGATCTGCCTGCAAAAACCTTGATTTTTCGCCGTTTTTAGGTGTTTTTCGGCTATAGAAACTGAACCACGTGAGCTAGGATGGCGCAATTTCACGTGTGCCGAGCCAAGAACATTCCTATTAGGCCTGCAAAATCTCAGCCAAATCGGCCGAGCCGTTGAGAAGGATTAGTGCACACACACACACAGGCAGACAGACAAATCTTTTCAACCGCACTGGAGTAACAGGCTTCACTATCGCTCAGCCAAAAATTTACCAACAAACTTACTGAAATCCGTTTGAGAAGTTCCTGCAGTTGTTCATATCGGAGTTTCTGCAACTAGGTAATGCGCCACTTGTGGTGAAATACAAGTAGGCTTGCCTGCTTCTGGATTTCCAGTATCAGTGTGAATCAAAGCGTCAACCACAAATGTTTTTGCATGAGAAGTAGCCAGAGACATCTTTGTTTTCTCATTAGAAGTTTCATCCACCTTCATAGGCTCGCCATTTCTGATAATCTCTTCGTATTCCAAAGTAACTTTCACTGGTCTGACTATCCCCATGTGAGCTTCCAAATAATCCAGCACCGAGTCTTTGGTGTCAACACCTTCAAACAAGTTGAAGCCTTTCAAATCATCAATAAGACCAAAAACTTCATCAACGCTGAATTTCTCGTTTATATTCCGTATTGAGCTCTTCGTAATGCACTGGTGAAACAAAGGCATTAAAATTATGCCCTTAAAGGGCATAAATCGTTAATGCCTTTGGGAAGGGCATTAAAATTTTGCTTGGAATTCCTATACCATTTACGCCCTTTCCAAGGGCATAAAATGAATTATGCCCTTGCAAGGGCGTAAAAGAGTATTTATGCCCTAAAGGGCGTAATTTTTATGCCTTTGTTTTACCATGGTGGTTTCTTGTCGCCTGAAAATAACGCTGAAGTTCGGTATCATCTGCTTGACCAGCCAATTTCTGAACACCATCCTGAATCAATAAATATAGTATTGACCAGTACAAACAAAGCAGAAGGAGCATACCCATTTCTGTCTGTAACTACTATAATTGATAATCTTTTGAAGAAAACTTCATGGCCTGTTACGACAAGACGCGGTCTGGCGTAAACCTACCTTGTACTGCAATGTATGAGAGAAGTAAAAAAGTAAGTAACATAAAAGCCCACTCTTCAAGTACAGTGGGAACTCCGCTGTCTTCCGCTTCAAACTTCCACGGATATGATCGGCCACTTTCTCCCAAGCAGAAGACCTGTGTGTGCTGCAGTGACAGGCGGGCAGATTGAAGTCGCAAAGCAAAGGATATTTTCCAATAATTGATATAAGCCTGGGAGAATCAATGTCAACAAGAAGAGGTTTAACTCTTGTTGACTTCCCACGATTCTCTTTTCACTGTGCTGTCAGATGCCATGTGCAAACAGGAAGATAATTGAAAAACATGGCATAAATATCTGAACGTGACTAATGTTGGCCACCCACAAAAATCGCCAGCCACACTTCTCTGCAGCTTTCTCCCTGTCGCAGTTAGTCCACGGCAGTTGTAAGGAAGAGCTAAGAAGCAACGCATTGTAAACACTAGGGGTACGCGCCGTTTTGTTTGGGCGCGTAGTAGGCGAGCGATGCGTCTGTATTCTTGTAGAAGATGGTGAAGAATATATGCAAAGTAAGGCCAATATAGGGTCTTCCGTAATGAAAGGGCCGGAATTTATGTCATTTCCGCGATCATCTTACTGAAAATGCAGGAAACAATGTGAAACTCAATTTTGAAATTTTGGTCACAAATTGGTAAATTTTGGGGAAAGTAAAGATCTGGGATGAAATTGGAAGTCATTTTCGTGATCAGCACACCAAAAACTACAGGAAACTGTAAAACTTGATGTAAAACTTTTGGTCCGAAATTGGTAAATATTTGGAAAAGTAAAGGTCTGAGATGAAATTGGAAGTCATTTTCGTGATCAGCACACCAAAAACTGCAGGAAACTATGTAAAACTTGATGTAAAAATCTTGGTCCGAAATTGGTAAATATTTTGAAAAGTAAAGGTTTGAGATGAAATTGGAAGTCATTTTCGTGATGAGCACACCAAAAACTGCAGGAAACTATGTAAAACTCGATGTAAAAATTTTGGTCCGAAATTGGTAAATATTTGGAAAAGTAAAGGTCTGGGATGAAATTGGGAGTCTTTTTTGTGATCAGCACACCAAATACTGCAGAAAGCAATGAAACACCGAGGAAATTTTGGTCCTAAATCATGTAATTCTAGTTGAAAGTATGGGTCTTCAGTTGTTAGGATTTTTAAGAGTGTTTCCTGTTCATGGTGTCATGCCATGAACCTTGACCTTGTTACGCAGTCGAGTAACATTTAACAGCCAGCATTGAATTGCTTAATACGATTCACAAATACTTCAATTACCATTCGATATCTCCTTGTTACTGAACTTATGAATACGCAATGTTATTAGTAATACCTAAAAAGCCTTTCTCCCTTTAAGTTTAAACTAGTGGATTAAACTATATTGATTTATCTGCATTAATCAAAGAGAGACATATTTACAGGCAGGCTTGAATCGTTTCATAGAATCCTATGTCGAGGCCACTTATTGCTAAACGCAAGTTTATCTTATTCATAATGATAGTCATGATGTGTTATTTAATCTTTGAAACAGTTTAGCAAAAGTATTTACCTAACATTCTGAGTAAATTAAAAAGAGAGCCAACTCAAACCATGACCAACACAAATTACCCGTTGTCGCAGACAATGTATAATTAAGTTAAAAGAATTGTCTCATGAATTCATATGACCAAGTCAGTGAATCGTCTCATTGAATCTGATGTCAATGTCAAACCTTGAATGCGCTACACTCACTCATCATATGGTTTTCTTTAAGGTTAGAACTATAGTAAACTCACAGCATTGCAATGAAGCCTTTTCCCAGAATCAGTGCCAAGAGTCAGCAAAGACTATTTATTTTGGCAAGATTAGCATCTGGTTTGTACTCATAGAATGTATTAATATATTTTCTAACTGTTATTGAGCAAAGCAAACAACTAAAAAATATAGTGTCTGGGAATATAAATGGACTCACAAAGGTTAAAAAGACCAAATCATTCTTGCAATTATCAAACACAGTCCACTGACTAAAACATTTGCCCTGTAGCGGTGTAGCGGGGGAGGGGAGGGGGCGGACGGACGGACGAAACGCGTAATAATTGTCACTTTCATTTTCCGTATTTCACTGAGTTGACACTCCGAAGGGGTTTCAATCATTCTAAAATATCGAAAAACTATGACCGTCCTCACTTTTAAGCCCTTCTGCTCTTTAGTTTGTTTTATTTGCCAATGTTTTGCCAAGTCCCGTATTTGAGAGCCGCGGCCGCAAGTATGAAAAATTGCTGCGAGATGCCAACCACTGCCAACCTAACCACGCTAAGAACCTAATTCAAAACGATGTTTTGAATATTTCAAACAATAGTAATCGTGAATATAAGATAAACTCCCCCTGTGGGAGCTTTAGGAGATGTTCGGTGCAAAATTTGGGAACTATTAGTGTTGTAGTTGCTGAGAAACGTGAGTGAGTTACGGACAGACAGACAGACAGACTCACGACCAGTCACTTTTTGGTGCGCCCAAACACGGCATGGGCTCGCCAATGAGCACGGGTCAGCTGTTGTGTGTCGTCTGCTGATGCACCACTGCCGGCTGGCTAGCTGCCGGGCAGTGAGCGGATGTTGGAGGGGTCAAAATGGCCGACTAACCTCCCCTCCCCGCCCGCCCCACCCCTCTCCGCGTCTCCAGCACCCGCCGCTCGGGCACACGATTAAATCTTGGAGTAATACTGTTAGGGAGTCCTATCTCGGAGTGACACGGTTGCCTTTGCCAGAGTCTACCGGCTGAACTATTTGAGCTAGGGTTCATCGCTTTGGCTCATTGTGACCGGGAAGGATTACCATTGTACGGGATTATCGCATTATGAACCTCCAACCCACCACTTTTTCGTTAAACCCCTTTTAGTAAATGTCACTGGGTGGCCGGCCAGATGCTAGAGAGAGACAGACTGCTTTTTGGCGCGGCTCGACACGGCACGGTCCCCCTCCCGTTCGCGCGCATGCGCAGAAGCGCTGTCCGGGACTTCGATGGCTGGCGTGTCGGCGTCCCTACGTACAGTGCAGTTTAAATTGTTTCTCCTGAATTGTGTGGTATGTAATACGTATTAAAACTTACATCCCGTACATTTGCAATATATGTACTAACCAAATTGTATCGAGCTGTTTCGCTCAGTCGCGTATTTCCTGAGCAGCGCTCTGGCAAACTCGATGGGAGCTCTTGCCGCGCGATCCTGTGGCTTTGTAATTTTACGAAAAATCAAAGTTTTTAATGAAAATCCCCTGTTGCAGAACAAGATGACGCCTACAACACGAATTAAACATGCCGAGGAAACCTAAATGTAGGCTTATCCGGCCTCCAAAGCGAGATAGGCGTAAAGATGCAGCTAAAGAGGTTAAGGTGCGTGTTTTGTTGTTGGTTCGGACTTGGAGGATACACTGGTTCGGATGAAAGTTGATATTTTGGAATAGTTGTAGTCTTGGAACTCTGTGGCGTTTTCAATGTTAGATATTGATTGTTACTGTTTGTCAATTTTTTTAGGACGTTTCTGAGTCACAGCCTGTGGATGTTGATATCTCTACTCATCCCGTTGAAAATGAAAGTACTACTGTGAGTTTCCATCTGTTTTTCCAATGTTGCAATGTGCAGCGCATTAAGTCTTTCCCTTTCATGTGAAGAGAAGAGACAATTATCTTAAACTTTCCTTTGCAGAATGACACTTCTCGAGAACAGCATGCTGATCACACTTACTTCAAGCTGCCAAGAATGGAACAACAAGAATGGCTGGCGGACCACAATTATTTTGAGTTGCCAGGAACAGACAAACAAGATTTGCAGGCGGACGACAATTATTTTGAATTGCCAGGAACTCAAGTTGAAAGAGACTCTCTTGATGATGGTTCTTGTGTGCACTTGGGTTTGCCCCATGTTCGAAAGAGTGACATCTCACTTGATGCCACACCCACTGACAATGAAGTGTGTTACTTTCACTTGTATTTTTTGTTTATGTGTGCATTTTACAAGAACCAAATAGTAATCAGTTGTGTGTTTTTGTGTTGTGTCTTTTAGTTCATGGAGCATATTATTGAAATAGAAGTTTCCAATGGGGAACAAACTTCAAGTTCAGCTGAAGAACCAGTTATTACTCCTAGTTTCATTGATCTTGACATCAATGTAAGTTTAGATTATTTTTATATTTTTACATGTCTTACTTACAATCCATTTGTGTTTGTTAATTTTTGTCCTTGCTTCTTTCAGTCAATCGACTGTGAAACACAGAATGGAATTCTGGAAGATGCAGATGAGGTGCCAGATGGACACATTTTATGTAAACAAACTTCCAGTTCAGCTGAAGAACCCGTTATTACTCCTAGTTTCATTGATCTTGACATCAATGTAAGTTTAGATTATTTTTATATTTTTACATGTCTTACTTACAATCCATTTGTGTTTGTTAATTTTTGTCCTTGCTTCTTTCAGTCAATCGACTGTGAAACACAGAATGGAATTCTGGAAGATGCAGCTGAGGTGCCAGATGGACACATTTTATTTAAACAAACTTCCAGTTCAGCTGATGAACCAGTTATTACTCCTAGTTTCATTGATCTTGACATAAATGTGAGTTTCAGTTATTTTTGTATTTTTACATGTCTTACAAACCATTCGTGTTTGTTAATTTGTCTCCTTGCTTCTTTCAGTTAATCGACTGTGACACACAGGATGGAATTCTGGAAGATGCAGCTGAGGTGCCAGATAGACACACTTCAAATGAACAAACTTTAAGTTCAGCTGATGAACCAGTTACTCCTAGTTTCATTGTTCTTGACATGAATGTGAGTTTTAGTTATTTTTGTATTTTTGCATGTCTTACTTATAAACCTTTCAGGTTTGTTAATTTGTCTCCTTGCTTCTTTCAGTTAATCGACTGTGACACACAGGAGGGAATTCTGGAAGATGGAGCTGAGGTGCCAGATGGACACATTTTAAATGAACAAACTTCAGTTAAAGAACCAGTGGTTGCTCCAAATTTGACTGATGATGTAAGTCTAAATTATGCTGTGCCTTCAAACTAATTAAGAGTCCAATTTAATGTTCATTGTATATTTTTTTTCCCTTCCAGTTGTTAAAGGAATGCGTCACTAAACTGAAAAGCCTCCTTCCTGCTCACTGGAGTGCCATGATTGACGATGGAGGTCTACATGTCATGAAATTCTCTACAGGCAACATAAAAGTAGTGCAGCGCTCCCTGTACCTCAGAAAAGATTGCAAGCTATCAGCTCATTTCCATGGCAAGGAGCTTCCACCAGATCATTCCTTCTGTGAAGAGGTTTCAAAAATAAACTTTGAAGTTGGCTGTGCCGAACTTCTTGCAAATGCAATCTGCAGGGCAGTGTCAGAGTATCGACTCTATGAAGTTTGCTGTGGAGTTCCAGCTACCAAATTCAAGAACTTGTGGCACAGAGACCCCGAGTGCTTCACTGACATGAATCCCTTCCATGAATTTAGGTACCAAACTATGACATGTAGATCTAATACATGTTCTTATGCAGTCCCCCAACTCCATCGACAATGTGCAACCTGCAGGAAAGTTCAGAAAAGATTTTCTTCTCGATCAGTCTTCAAGACAGCAACCTCGCCCAGCAAACCTAAGACACCTAGTAAGTTTAAGCCTTTCAGCACTCTCATTACTCCTGAAAAGAAGAAAAGAGCAGAAATGTACCAAAAACATATAAGGAACTTACAGAGACAAAATGGAAGATTGAAGGAACAAATTGCCAAGAAAGTTGCTGAGGAATCTGTTCTTGTGGACGAAGAATTTGACAGAGATTTGACCTCTTGGATCCAGGAAGCTGATCAGGATGGCAAAGTTTTGGACTTTCACAAGATCTTTTTGCAGCAACAACTTTTAGCATCAAATGTAAAGGACAAACGTGGCATGAGATGGCACCCCCTCATGATAAGGTTTGCTCTGCTACTGAAAACGTTATCCGATAGTGCTTACTCGGCTATGGCTAAAAGTGGCTTCATTCATCTGCCATGTGAGAAAACATTGTACGACTATTCTCATGCTATGGACGTTTATGAAGGCTGCCATCCCAACATTATTGAAGATGTAGCTAAAGTTGTGAGTGCGAGTAAGCACCCCTATCAGCAAAACCATGTTTTATCCTTTGATGAAGTTACTATTTCACAAAATTTGGTAACTCGAAAAGCAACTGGAGAGGTAATTGGTTACTGTAACCTTGATTTAGCCAAGTCGGAAGTATTAAATCTTGAGAAGAAATTAAAGGATACAGCCTCTGAAGTAGCACCCACTCCTGTCGAAGAACTTCCTATGATAAAGAAAATGCTGTCATTTATGGTGCGGGGTGTGGCCAATAGTGTGCAGAGTGTTGTGGCGTCATTTGGAGTCAATGTTCTTGCCAAGGAGGATCTCCATGAATATGTTTGGCAAGTGGTCGGAAACTTGGAAATGGTTGGGGTGAGAATTACTGCATTCATCTGTGATGGAGGTCCCTCCAACAGAGGCTTCTTTGAAATGCAGCCGCCAGCCACTGTAAACACTGAGTCTAGTGTTGTCTTTGACACCCCAAACATTTATGATCCTGACAGGAATATCTACTTCATCTCTGATCCTCCTCATTTGTTGAAGACAATCAGAAACTGCTTGTACAACTCTGGTCGTAAGAAGTGCAGAGAGTTAAAGAAGAATGGGGAAACTATGAAATGGAGCACCATCGTTCAGCTGTACAAGTGGAAATCCAAGCAGACTGTGAAGAAGTTGTTCAAATTAACTGCGCCCTGTGTGTTCCTAAATTCTTGGTCCAGGATGAAGGTGGCACTCGCAGCACGGGTGCTGAGCCAGAGTGTGGCAAACGTGTTGAAAAGTCTTAATTGGGAAGGGACTGCTCAACTTTCAATTTTTGGAGAAATGTAATGAATTTTTTGACTGTTTAAACGGTAAGCATTCGGCTGAAGCTATAAAAACCAAGAAGGATGACTTAGCACCATATACATCACCTAATGATCATCGCTTTGAGAAGTTGATGAAGTTTTTGGAGTACTTGCAAGAATGGGAAAAAGAAGCTTGTGCCGCTGAACCTTCGAAGGAGAAGAGAGCTACAATGTTGCTGAGTTTGCAAACCAGGGTTGGGATTGAAATAACCATTCGTGGTTTCATTGGAGCAGCCAAGTATCTACTGACTCCTGTTTCTGAGGGTGGCGCTGGGTGCAAGTTCATTATGGCTGGAGTCTTCAATCAAGATGGGCTTGAACAGTACTTTTCCAAACAGCGAGGTTTGTGTGGTAGTAACAGAAATCCAACAGCGGATCAGTTCCTTCGTAACCAGAACAAACTGCACTTACTGCAAGGACTAAGAACCAAACGGAAAGGTTCAAATACAGAAGCTTCTGAAGATCCCACTCTTTCTACTGCGCCTCTGCCAAAGCGAAGGAAAACTAGCAGACCACTCATCTATCCCATACGAGAAGAGGAGGAAGAAAATATGCAAGTTGGCTGAATGTCCTTACCTTCAAACAGTCATATCGGACCCGTGATTCTATAATAATTTTAAGTATGATTTTTCTGTATTTAATTGTGATTGGTAATTGTTCCTGTAACAAGTATTGTGACCTGATCCATTATTCATAAGTTAGTAGTTACTTCAAAATGGTACCTACATTTAGTTTTGAATGTGATGTCTTGATAAATGTTCCTACAGTATTGTGACCTCATACAATATTGATATGTTAGTAGTTACTTTAAAATTGTACATTCAGTTTTGATTGTGATGTCTGGATTATTGTTCCTGAAACAAGTTCTGTTACCTCATTCAGTATTAATAAGTTAGTAATTACTTTAATTAAAGTTGTACATATAGTTATGATTGTGATGTCTAAGCTTTGTTCTTGTCATTTTTGTTACCCAATTCCTTTGACTACTTTCAATTGAAAGTATACATTTTGCTTATTTTGTTGTGATCCCCTCAACTTAAAATTGCAAATGACAGTCTGTGAAAGAAACAATTTATTTGAAAGTATATTTTGAGCACATAGCTGTGATCACAAACAACTGTGCTTGAGTGTTGCTCTACCAACAACCCATTTCTTCAAATGTAGGGTATTGTTATATTTTAAATAAGTAATGACAAAGGCATTGTGAAATAAAGTGAATCGTGTTTAATAAATACATGGAACAAAAAATTCCTCTTTTTATTTCTCAAATTACAGACAGGAGACACCAATCACATGACTATGTACAGCTCAACTGATAACTCATTTGGGACCTTGACATGTAAATAAGCAGCTAATAAACAAATTTAATTAATTAGTTCAAGTTGGCACGGAAAGCAACTCCACTTTTACCATGTTTGTTGCCCCCAACTGTCCCTCCTTTTGCAGCGAGCTCATCAAGCCGCCTTGAAATTATTCCTTTCCTCCAAGTGACACAAAAATGAGAACACAGTGCATGAAGAAGTTTGAACGATTCATCATCTGGAAGTGAACCTTTAACAGCTTCATCCCATAGCCTTATTAGTTTCCCGCAATTAGACACAGTTGTCATAACTTCACTTTCATAAAGGGAACCATCCATGTGCTCCAAAACGTTAACTTCCACTCCCAACGCAACAAAAAAATCCAGTAATGGGTCACTGATTTTGATAAGGCCACCTCTGTCCTGACTTAATGTCCACTCCATTAATATTTCATCTGGAGGTAAAGCACCTTCACCCAGGATAAAATACCTCTTGATGGTCTCGACAATTCTTGTCCACTCACAATTGGGGTTTTTGATTCTTAAAGCTGTTCTCAAAACACTTTTCACATTGGAACCTCCGATAAAATGAAGCACTTGCTTAAAATCAAGAGTGTCAGTGGGTTGAGTTGATATACAAAACCTTGCAGACAGAGGTATGTTTGGAACATCCTCACCATCATTTAACATAAATTGAATAAAATACGTTAATAAATGAGATGAAAACACTCTTAAAAAGTTACCTAAAAATATATTTGCTGCTCCTTGAGATATATTTACTAATTTTTTCAACAATTCAATAAGTTCTTTGCGTTCTCCTCGATTTCCACAAAACTTGGTAGAGGATGACCAGAAAGCAGCCCGTAAGTCTGAAGGGGTCAAATACTTGTCACAAGATTTGAAGAAAGAAGTCAGCCCAGTGATGATACGTTCCATAATGAAACACCACTCAAATGACATCATTTGCTCTTGCAATAGTTTTGCAGCACTTGTCACTTCTGAGGCAAATCCTGCTGTCAACTGCGAATTTCCTATTTCTTTAAGAACTTCAGAGACTATCTCTGTACTTTTGGTCTTAATGTCTTCAACAGTTGGAGCTTTCTTGTACAAGTCTGAAAGAAAATAAATTTCTGATAAATAAACAATCAAATGAAGTAACATTAACACTAATGAATACTGGTTCTTACCTGACATAGCATGAGTCTCTCTATGTTTTACATAATTGACAATAGTTTGGAACTTGGCTGCACAATTTTGACACTTGATCCATGCTGCCTTGTTTTTCTTTGGCTTTGATGGCTTTGACGCCTTTGAAGGGTCTCCTTCAAGATGCATATTTCTCAATGCTTCCTCAGCCTCATCATCTTCGTCAAAGAAATATGTTGGTTCTTTATCACTAGACTGAATGTTTACATTGAATATTTCATCCTCATCAGGAACCTCGACAAACTCTTCACCTCCATCTCCATCTGAACATTTCTCTGCTGCTTGCGTTGAGCTACAAGCTTCTGGGCGATCCTCACTTTGAGCTCCATTTTCCACTTTATCTGTTTCACAACAAAAAAGAAAAAAGTACACATTGAAAAGTAGAGTTTCTTGAAATGAATTTGTCTTAGACAAGTGCACAGCCCTTATTTCAAGGACCAAAATAATACATACCATTGTTTGCGTGAACTGCACTTTGGTGTTTCTTTAAACCTTTATCAGTCAGGTACTTTTTAGTACATTTGTCGCAGTGTAAATATTGCCGACCATCAGCACTAGTAGTAGCACTTCCAGAGGCTGACTGTCCCTCATTTACACCTGTAAAACAGTAACATTTTCGAAATAAATCTTACCATTGACGAGGTTAGCCGAACATCGGCCTTTGCCGAATTACGGGACGTCTTACCTTGCTCGTGCCTCTTTTCATGCGCGGCCAATGTTCGCTTGGATTTCAAAACTTTTTGGCAAAATTTGCACTGAAATTCATTCATTGTTAAGCCAAGTTTGTAGTGACAACCAACTATAACCCCACCTACGCGTGGGCCAAGATGTAAACAAAATGAGGCTCCAGGTGCACCAACACTGATGGAATAAAAACGGTATATTTATGACTATGTTTCCATCCAGTGTTGCATCAAATCACTTAAGAAGTGTATTTAAATGTTACTGAGAAAATTTAAATGGTAGAAATGTATGCTTCAGCACAAATGGTCAATAATAATGACACATAGAAAAGTCCGAAGGTTGGTAGCGGAAAAGGGTGGTTTAGAGGTCGTTTTCTGTCGTTCCTAGAAGGCGTGTGCCCGATCTCCAGACAGCAGAGCCCACAGAATCGAGAGTTAGGACTCCCTAACAGTATTACTCCAAGATTAAATCACTTTCCAGGACCAACATGCATTATAACAATAATAATGATGAAGATGATATAATAACAGCGTCTGATCATGTGAGACCCATTGCCCCTGCGACGCTTCTTTTTCTTGCTTCTCGAAGCCGACGCATCGCTGCGCTCCGCCTGCCAGCAGCGATACACTTATCGAGATGCGCGCGCCGCCTTCACCCCCACTCCGCCGATTTTGACCCCCACCACCGCTCAGCACAGCCTCCCGACGCTCTTTTGTTTCTCCCGTTCTGTCGCTGACTTCCAGTCTGGGTTTTGTCCGAAGTACCCTATTGCCTTTCTCGAAATTCCCACCTGACCTCATATTGAGGTGCAGTGAAAACACCAAGAAACACGAGAAATCGGAAAAACTCGAATGCGCCATGTTGATGTTAAGGTTTCCTCCTTTGTGTTCGGTTGAATTGGAACTATCGGGCAGTCCACTAGGCCTAATGCACCCCAAATTTTGTGCTCTTTTGATCTGTGCAACGCGTTTTGCAATCAGCGGCCTGGATCTTACAATCGAAGCAAAATAAGTAACCCCTGCACCTCGCTCGAGCATGGCTTTACGCGCTCCCTAGGCATCAGCAATCCTTATTGAGTCAACAAGGTCCACTTAACCATGATTTCCTTATAGACACCGCAATTATGCTCAAGCAAAGCCAGTAAAAGAGATCAAGAAAAGAGTTCCGAAAGTGAAAACTCTGAACTACATGTAAGTTTACATCGTACAGCCTCAATACAACTAAACTAGTCCCTTCAAACAAAAAACAATTAATTTCATTTCAGGATGATGAACAGACCTGACAATGACCAAAACAAAAAGAGAAAGAAAAGGGATGAAAACACAAAGAACAGGTATTACAAACTATAGTTATTAATAAATAGACACTACAATTTCACACTAACTTA